ATTTTATTTTATTTATTTTATTTTATTTTTAAATCTATTATTGTGATTCATATCCTCTTTCATAATTGGCTCAACACAAGCAGGGGAAAGTGAGGGATTTTACGAAAGAAATGAGACGAAGTGAGAGACAGATTATAAGCTTGTTTAATTATTTATTTTTATGTTCTTAATAGATTATAGAGTACTGACAAGTTTTGAAAACAAAAATTTTTTTAAAAAAATACTATTTACATTATAGGTATATATAAAGTGGTGAAATGAAGGGTTCAAAAATAATTTACTTTGTTTAGATAATTGTCATTAATGAAAGCATGATGTTGTGAAAAAATATGTCTGCTCCTTTTATGTTTCAAAAAAGTTTTAATATTTTTACTTCCAAAACACATAATAAAAATATATTTTCAAATAATTTTTTTATTTTTTAAATAAATCATGCAATTTCAAAAGTTGGTTAAAATTTATTAAAGACAATAAACATGTGAAAAAATGTAACTTACTTTCCTAGAATATTTTTATTTAAGTAGAGAGTAAGTGCAAGAAAGAATGAGTGACAAAAAAATGAGGGAGAATAAGTGGGGGAAAATAAAGAAATAAAAGGAACATATAATTAATTAGAAACAAAAATAAAAAACAAATAATAAAATAAATTCAAATTTATTAAAAAAAATTCCTTCAAATATTTTATATGTTGAATCAGACGGGAGAAGGATATAAGCTTGTAAAGAAATATACCCTGGGATCTTAATATCCTGCTTTGTAACATGTGAGTGATTTGGATTTTGCCTCTCTTGTCATCGCGGAAAAAAAAAAGGGAAAATTACTTCCAGATCTCACAGAAGGTAGGTCCCACGAAATGTCAAAATCATTGACAGGTCCCAAGGGACCTCAGAGTAATATTTTCAATTTGTAAAATGACATTACTGCCCCTCATATTCCAGATTCACATTTGCTCTGTTATTGCGATTTACAACCTCAGCAGCGAATATTAACAACCCAATGAGAGGGCATTAACAACCCTATCAGTATCCGTTAACAACTTACTTTATAGAATCATATAACCTCCACATAAGAGTAAATTATAACCAAATAGTATAATACAACAACTTTAATACTAAAATGGGAAGCTTTTTGATATCATTAAGAATTTCAACTAGATCCAATAGGATTACAGTAATATTTTAATGCGAAGATCCATTTACAACCTCAACAGCGACTATTAACAACCGAATGAGAGGGCATTAACAACCTAAGCAGTATCCGTTAACAACTTACTTTATAGAATTATATAACCTCCGCATAAGAGTAAATTATAACCAAATAGTATAATACAACAACTTTAACACTAAAATGGGAAGCTTTTTGATATCATTAAGAATTTTAACTAGATCCAATAGGATTATAGTAATATTTTAATGCGAATATCCATTTACAACCTCAACAGTAAGTATTAATAACCTAAGGAGAACTGTTAACAACCATAGGAATGTCTGTTAACAACTAACTTTATCGAATAATATAACTTCTAACTATAACTAACTAAATTATAACTAAATAGTCTTAAAGTTAATCTTATATAGTTGTTAAAGGTTATATTATTCTATAAAGTCAGTTGTTAACAGATACTGCCTAGATTGTCAACAACTCTCTTTGGGTTATTAATACTCACCATTGAGATTATAAATGGATCTTCGCATTAAAATGTTGCTATAATCCTATTGGGTTTAGTTAAAATTCTTAATGATATCAAAAAACTTCCCATTTTAGTGTTAAAGTTGTTGTATTATACTATTTGGTTATAATTTACGCTTATATGGAGGTTATATGATTCTATAAAGTAAGTTGTTAACGAATACTGCTTAGGTTGTTAATGCCCTCTCATTCGGTTGTTAATAGTCGCTGTTGAGGTTGTAAATAGATATTCGCATTAAAATATTACTATAATCCTATTGGATCTAGTTAAAATTCTTAATGATATCAAAAAGCTTCCAATTTTAGTGTTAAAGTTGGTGTATTATACTATTTGGTTATAATTTACTCTTATGCAGACGTTATATAATTCTATAAAGTAAGTTGTTAACGGATACTGCTTAGGTTGTTAATGCCCTCTCATTCGGTTGTTAATAGTCGCTGTTAAAGTTGTAAATGGATCTTCGTATTAAAATATTACTATAATCCTATTGGATCTAGTTAAAATTCTTAATGATATCAAAAAGCTTCCCATTTTAGTGTTAAAGTTGTTATATTATACTATTTGGTTATAATTTACTCTTATGTGGAGGTTATATGATTCTATAAAGTAAGTTGTTAACGGATACTGCTAGGGTTGTTAACGCCCTCTCATTGGGTTGTTAATAGTCACTGTTGAGGTTGTAAATCGCAATAACAGAGCAAATGTGAATCTGGAATATGAGGGGCAGTAGTAATGTCATTTTACAAATCGAAAATATTACTCTGAGGTCCCTTGGGACCTGTCAGTAATTTTGATATTTCGTGGGACCTCAGAGTAATAAATTGCCTTCTGTGAGACCTGTACGTAATTTTCTCAAAAAAAAATCTGAGTAATAGCTTTTAATGTTTACATTCTTTAAAGTCCAAAACGTTTATAAATGTTATGCTGCCAAAAAAAAAACATCTATAAACGCTAAAACAAATATTCATCCGATATTGTACCAAAAAAAAAAATCATCCGATACTTAATATAAAACACATTTAATTAATTTGATTAGACTAAGAAAATGAGGTAAGTTAGTTAATTATAAGAAAAGTGACATATTTTTTCTAAAACACTATAATCATTTTTCTTAATATCACATCTCCCTCTTCTACTTGATTATGGTTAAAGAAGTATTTATAGGAATAATTTAAAAAAAATTAATAAATATAAAAAATAAGTCTTATATTTAGAATCAAAACTAACTCAATATTAGGTCTTATATCAAAGACAGAAGTAGTATATTGTTAAGTTGTGGTCTCTGAACATTTCTGAAAATTCTTTTTGCAACATAAAATCACTTTTTTTTTTTGGACAGAACAACATAAAATCACTTTAAAAAGGCTGCTATTGTGCTTTTCAGATATTTTCAAGGGACTTTATTGATAAGGACATTTAGAAACTGAAGGTAGTATTTGTAAAGCATACTTATCATAGTAACCATATTACTACTCCCGGTCTTTAATATAAAACCTTATTTGATTTTTATTTTGGTCCTAAATATAAGACCCTAATTCACTTTATTTTTCATATTTATGTGTTTTTTTCAAAGTAATCCTTCTAGCAATGATAGTTTTAGCCAATACACTTGATTAGTAAGGATATTTTAAGAAAGACAATATTTATTTGTTACAAATAACTAATTTAACTTCTTTTTTTAATCTTCTCAAATTAATCAATTAGTTTTTATAATTAGGATTGGAGGTAGTATGTTACGAAAAGTTTGTCCAAAAGCATACGCCCTATCTCACTTAACTTGAATCTAAATTTTGATCTCAACCCCAAACGATCAAGGTTCAAAACTAAAATTTTCACTTGAAAATGGATACAATATTGATAAACTAAAGACATCAAATAAAAATCAAATATCAAAAGAATTTCTTTTTTGAAAAAAAACAAAATGATAATTTATTAAAAATGAGAGAATTACAAATTAGACATAACAAAAGGACAATAGATGGAGAGGTTAAACACACAACTAGGACAACTCTTAGTAAAACTTATTCTAGCAAAACCAAACGAATTGAGGAAATACTCCTCCGGTCCTTAATATAAGACCCAATCCTTGAGTTAGTTTTGGTCCTAAATATAAGACCCATTTCTCGTATTTATCAATTTTCTCTAAATTACCCCTATGGATACTCCTTCAATTATAATTAAGTATAAGAGAAAGGAGGGATATTAAAAAAGATGGTTATGGTATTTTAGGAAAAATATGTCACTTTTCTTATAATTAACTAACTTACCTAACTTCCTTAATCTAATCAAATTAGTTAAATGGGTCTTATATTAAGGACCGAAGGAGTATGTTAGATCATGCTTAATAATGTTATTTGAGTCATCAAAAAATCGCTAACAAAAGTTTTTCCATTTTATCAATAACCAGACCTAGTAAGAAATTGTTCGATGTGAAAACAAAAATGAATTAATAGCTCAACAAAAATTAGTTCTTAGACATTTAAGGGTAAAGAAAGAATATTCCTGGTGCGATTTCTTCTTGGATAGCTGATCTAGATAGCATATCCAAATATGATAGGAAGAGAATTTTCCAATGCCGAATACCATCAGTCGTGTTTGATACGAAATATTAAAAATTAGGAGTAGAGATTGTGATTGGGATTAAAAAAACATATTAAAAGAATGTTTAGCATAAGAGATTTCTTCTTACATGGAGTAGACAGATCAATGTATATGAGATTAAAGAATACTAATACTACCTCCCATCATGGTATTCTCCGATTCCAATACCACTTCCTATCATAATATTCTCCTATCTCACATATTTGAGTTTCTTTATCCTATGTAACAAGAAATTTCTCATGCTAAATACTTTTTTAATGATTTTTTTCAATTACAATCATAATTTTTATACCTTATTTTTAATGTTTCATGCCAAACTGACCTGTTAGGTCTAATGGCACAAGATGTGCTCTTAGTGGCACCAAGTTTGTGGTTTGATTTCTAGCTATTAATGAGGATCCATGCTTGCTATGCAGATAAAAGAAACAATCTAGCCAGTAGTACTAAGAGAGAGATCATAATTCAATGGTATATAATTGGGATCATGAAGATCATTGTGCTGGAAAAAAAAGAGAGGCCATGTTAATGCTATAGAATGGGATGAATGTCAAAAGAAATTCAGAATAACATAACAAGCCAGAAATGTCCGCAAATTATGAAAGGGAAAAAAATTGGTTTCCATTCGTAAACAAGGAATGGGGAAAAAGAGAAAAGAAAACGAAAAAGAAAAAAAAAAGGGGAAAAAGGAGAAGACATTGAAAAGAACACAACTGAAGCAGAGGCTTCCCCACACCTTCCTCTCTCCTCAATACGGCTAACCCGTTTCTGTTCCTCCACAACCGAACACGCCCTCTCCGCCATCACCTCGTGCTATCCTGCGCCTCCTGCTTATCCTGCGCCGTGCGCACCTTTCTCCCCCTCTTCTGGTCTCTTCCCTACATAATCTTCCCCTTCTCCAGTCTCTCTCTTCCCCAGATTCGTTGCTTCAAACCTGGCTGGGTTCCGGAGCTGGGGCTAGGGTTAGGGTTTCTGAGAGATGTGGGATGCTTCAGGCATTGATGAATCTGCTCTCTCTCTGTTGGAAGCCATTCGGGCGTGGTGCTGATAAGTTCGACACCATTGGAGCTGTTGGGAGCACTTTCGGGGGTGGGGCAGGCGGCAGGGAAGGTAAAGACGGATTGCTCTGGTTCCGAGACGTAGGAAGGTATGGTTCCGGCGATTTCTCGATGGCCGTGGTTCAGGCGAATCAGGTTCTCGAAGACCAGAGCCAGATCGAGTCTGGTCCTCTGGGCACCTTTGTAGGTGTGTACGATGGTCACGGAGGACCCGATGCCTCTCGATACGTTTGCGATCACCTCTTTCGTAACTTTCAAGGTTCTTGATGCTGAATCTTCTTTTTTATTTCTCATGCTATGTAGGCCTGATATAGTTTTGGTTCCTGGGGCATTCAATCGGCCACGTTTTAGTTTCTGGTTGCTTCATTGCATTCACGAGCAGGGACTGTTATGTGTGATTTTCATCAATTCACTTTTTCCTAAACTTTCCCCCCCAAAAGTTGAGCTTTTCGTTGGTCTTGAGTGTGAGATTTCGCAGAATCGGGAACAGTTCAGACATTCACGCGAAATGGGAGTTACTATTTCCTTTAAGCGTTCATCGATTTTTTTGATTTTTTTCCGTTTTCCTCCTTTTCTATTTTTAGAGAATGCTTTTTTCACCTTCGATCCATTGATAAGTGGGAACGGGATTGGCGATTACGAAATGTCTCAAAGTCTAGTCAGTTTTGGACCCATCCTCTGGGTTGAAGGCCAATATATTTTTTTGTATCGTTCTGCCTATAATTTTGTTCCTCTTAGTAATATAGATGGACAAAAGGGCGTTGGAATTCGAATCGTTTTTTTTTTTTCCTTGTTTATAAAGGATCCCTTCTCATGTTAGCCGTCTTAGACTTCATCTTTATGCAGCAATAGCCGCTCAGTCACAGGGAGTTGTGACTGCTGAGACTATTCATAGAGCATTTCTTCAAACAGAAGACGGTTTCACTTCTCTTGTGTCAGAATCATGGGATAGACAACCTCAGATCGCAACTACTGGGACCTGTTGTCTTGTTGGAGTGATATTTCAGCGGACCCTCTTTGTGGCAAATGTTGGAGATTCCCGTGTTGTGTTGGGTAAGAAAGTTGGCAACACTGGAGGTATTGCTGCGATTCAGCTATCTACTGAACATAATGCAAATCTTGATGCAATCAGACAGGAACTTAAAGAACTACATCCTCATGATCCCCAAATTGTTGTCCTCAAACATGGAGTGTGGAGAGTCAAAGGCATTATTCAGGTGATTCTATGCGCTTCTGTCCTTCAGAGAATCGATCTTTCCAGCATAAAAATTAGTGTTTTCCTGCATGTAGTCAAAACAAATATTGGTTACTTGTATTCTTGGATATCAAGCTTAGGTGATAGGTAAATAGGTTTAGAAGCTTATCAACGTATACCCTTGGGCAATATTCTTCCTATTGTCAAAACTTATGGGCTGCGTGTATTTATTGCTTTTTGAAGTCAATTTGCATGAAAAGACTGGGGAATAATTCTGTCAATTTGTATTCTTTCTTTATGGACTACGGTGTGCATACGTACATGCTTACCTTCTTACATGCGTCCATTCATGCGTGCGTGCGTGCGTGTATGCATACATTATATATGAATTTCAGTTGTGACTCGTGGCCTAATAAGAACTTTGAACAACTTATATGCCAATTGTCACAGTCGCTTTCTTTCTTTTAATCATCCCCATCCTTTGTTTATTTTTCCTAGAGTTTTGGCTGTATATTTCCTCTGGTCCCGTCTTGCTGGATATCATTTCAACTTTTATTTAAAGATGTATTTCTATGTGTTTGTGTGGAATCCATGCTGTAGACTTGTCTTGTATTAACATTCTGTTTTTATTACTCTCCTTGTTTTATTTGACGTGTGAAGTTGAATGTATTGTTGGTTGTGGGTTCACATGTCTAGAATAACTTTTGCGAATGTAAGCTTATTTCTTAGTTTCACTTCCCACTGGCCAAGTTAATTACCTTATCATATTGCCTTTTTTATTTTTGTATCAAGTGCAGGTTTCTAGGTCTATAGGTGACGTATATATGAAACATGCCCAGTTCAATCGGGAGCCAATTAATCCAAAATTCAGACTTCCAGAGCCAATGAACATGCCTATCTTGACTGCTAGTCCAACAATTCTCTCTCATCCTCTCCAACCCGGTGATTCCTTCCTTATATTTGCATCAGATGGTTTATGGGAGCACTTGAGTAACGAAAAAGCAGTGGATATTGTCCACAGGAATCCACGGCAGGTAAAGTTCTTGTCTCCTTTATTTTGTTATTCTTTCTGCACTCAATGTTTCTTGGTTTGTCCCTTGTTCGCATGCATTCTAAATGGCCATAGTTTTTTTTTTTTCAAATGTATTTGGCACTTTATTTAACCCATTGCCTCAAGAGCAGCAAGATGATGAAGTATCTGGATCAAGCTTGTGTCCTATGGCTATAAGATATTAGGTGCAGTAAATAAATTTTCTTTACATGATTTACATGGTTTGGTATGAAAATTTGAGCTTCCCCGTACTACTTTAACCTAGAAGTTCATCTTTGTCTCCCATCATGCTGTGTTTGATATGTTGTAATTAAAGATGATTGCTTTAGGTTGATTTGGTTGAGTGTAATAGTTGTGAAAAGACTTGTTTTGGTAATTTTCGAAGGCATAACTTGACGAGCTTTACTTTTGCCCTCACTTTTTGGATAAACACCAGCTATGCATGTTCATTGTCCCTGCAAGGTACGTTTAAGTTTTTAAGTGATATGCTGATCCTTAATCAAGCAGTTGCGAGAGTCATAGTTTGAATTTTTCTTTGGTCAACACAGCAGCCAATAATGTGATGAGTGTTCATCAATTCGACTTGAGTTGATTTCGCTTCTTAAGTTTCCTCCTGTGCTTGAGTTATTCTTTTGTGGGAGAGGGGACGATAAATGGAGATGATTGACATTCACCAGTTTCATGGGTCAAAAGACACCATAATGTTGTTAACATGTATAAACGCCACATATTTTTGACTTCTTTCCGATTACTGGCTTCCCCTCTCTGGTCTTACTCTTCTTTGTACTGCAAAAAGGAATCATGAAGCCATTATGCATTCTGCAACACATGTAAAATCTGTATCTGCCTTCAATAGATTGGTAGCTTGTTATTGTTCCCAAAGAAAAGTGAATATCAATAGATGGATGTTAGATTGATGATTTTGTTCTTTGGCTGCACATTGGCATTGTAGTTCTGAGTGAGTCCCTTGCCAAAATGATTCCTATATTGAATTTATGGTGCTTGAAATTTCTGCTAATGCAGGGTAGTGCCAAGAGACTTATCAAGGCTGCTCTCCAAGAAGCAGCAAGGAAACGAGAAATGCGGTACTCAGACCTCCGCAAAATTGACAAGAAGGTTCGAAGACATTTTCACGATGATATAACTGTTATTGTTTTATTCTTAAACCACGATCTTATATCCAGAGGCACAGTGATAGACCCTCCTCTTTCAATTCGAAGTGCTCTTGATCACTGACACATGATTGTAAACATGGTGTCTTTTAAGAGTCTTTGGGGCAGCTCTCAGATAACTGTACCCGTACCAGAAGACACACCGTTGCTACCCGGCTGGCATATATACGAATTGACAGTGCATTTGGCACCTTTGGTCACTGATACCGAGACAACTTATTGATGAGGCTCCAATTTATAACATATTATTAGAAATATATCTGTGGAAAAAAGGAAAAGAATGAAAATAATTTTTGACACTACGGATGCCCATTTTATAGTTCGTTTTAATTTCTTGGCAGTCTTTGTTCGAATTTCATGGTGGAGCAGACTAAATTATTTGACAATAATTCAATGGAAGTTTAGCACATAGTAAGGTATCTCATGTGATAAGAGGCATAAGTTATGCACAGATTTACTTTAGTTTTTATTGCAGATGAAGTGAAAATTTTAGATATAATGTATAGATTTTTGGTGGGGTATTGTCCAAAGGAGAAAATTAAGGTGTACTTCTTGGCTGTTTAGTGTTCACTGTATGATGTGGATAAAATGTCTTGGCGTTTTGTGGGATTTTTTTTTTTTAATACCAACGCTTTATGGAGTTGATTTTGAGGTTGAGCTGTAGAAGATGTTTAGCTGTTATCATTTTTTTTTTTGGGTAGAATTAGCTGTTATCATTTTCATTGTGAAAGATGATGTTTTACTGTGTCAGATGAGTTATAATATTTATAACTAATGAATATTGTGATGTCATAGAAATTTCATTATATTTATTGATATATACGTGCGTACATTGAATTTTTTGAGCCCCAATGTATCTTATACTTCCATGGCAAGTACGCAACATGGAACTTTTCCTGAATTGCTTGTGATTTGGATTTCAATTATGATCAATTATAAGAGTCAAAATTAAGATTTTCTTGAAAAATTACACTTTTTATTCCAAAATAATTATCTTTAACATGCCAAAAATAATGAATTCAAAGTCATGATTATCTTATAAATGACTAAAAATGCTTCTGTGCGTGTTAAAACCCGAATTTATGGCTGTTTTATAGAATTGATCCTTAACATCGCATGGTTCTCTTTAACATTGTTGTGTGATCTGCTTCAAAACTGACTATTAACCAATTTAATTATAAATCCATTGATAGAGGTCAAAATATAATTTTTCTTCCCTACCAAAAGAACTCATAAATATTTAAAATCGCTTGACCTGATTGAGAATTTTTCTGGAAGATGTTGCCCAAATAGCATAATGGCAAGGCTATCCCCTTTGGGTCTGTGAAAGCAGGCCAGATTTGTTGGTTCAAAGGGACTCTACTTTGGTAGTTCAAAGCTAAGGTTCTCCATTATAAAGCATAAATTTATAAAAAAAGTTATTTATTATTATCTCCCCCCTCCCTTTTCTGGTTAATCGTGGGGAATCTAGGAATCACCGTTAATGTTTAATCGGTCCGGTATTTTTTAATATTTGACTTGTTCCCTTTATGAATTGATTTAAAATAAATTTCTTAAAACTTGAAAGAGTAAAATAAAATTACTAATATAAATTTTGATTCTTTAAATTTGCTTTCATTTTAGATTTGGTATCTCAAGTTTCTTTTTATTTAAAATATTAGTCCCTATAATCTAATGAAAACTTTGATTATTTTGCCTCTAAAAAAACCAGAACCTATTATTTAAAATTTAAAAAATTAAAATCAAAATAAAAACAAATTTAGGTGACTAAAAATTATATTAGTTTAAAATAAAACTATCATTTTTCTTGTTTGAAGTTCTGCTTTATTTTCCTGCCCCATGCCCTGTCCTTTTACGTCAGCAACCAGTGACTCTGAAGTTGGCAGCCAAGGCTGCACCTCTGCATCGAAACCTGGCTCTTATAGGCTTCCGACGTGTTACTTTTCTCTACCGTTGGATCTAATGAATGCCCTGCCTCATCCAACGGAAAATGAGGTGAAACGTGGCATCCACTATTCTCACTCTTCATCAGGCTGGATTGTGTTGCCACGTCACATCTAAATATTTTATCATCAGCGTAAACGAGTGCCGTTCTCTCTCTCTCGCTCTTTTTTTTTTTTTTTAATGGAAGCTGAGTTTTTTCAGCTAAAAAAAAAAAAGGATAACTAAGTTTGAAGGTATTTTTCGCTTTTAAAAAAGTTAGATATTAATGTTCTGTTATTTTTATTAGTTATTTGTTTAACTTGCAAATTAAAACACATTAAATAAAATTTTGAGAGTAATTACATTCTATGAGATGTATCAAGCATGCATATTTCCAATTATGACATAATCACAGATTTTTTCGTGGGAGCCTAATTCTGTTTTGCAAATTAAAGTACGATTAGTTAATACAATATAAAAGGTATACCTTTATTTACACAAAAAACAAAAGAAAATAAATAAAATACAAGGTCATGTCCTCTGTTGCAACTTTTTTTTTTTTGTATTTTCATATTAAGTTTAAAGTCAGTAATATTAATTATGTTATCATATCAAGTCATGCAGAGTTTATTTTCCCACGTATTATAAAAATGAAATTTGAAGCAAATTATATTAAATTATAGTAATTATGGTTTTGTCCTAAATTGCACTAGCAAAGAACCAAGAATTTTTCATTTTCATTAATGTATGATACGAATTATTGTTTTTTTTTTCATATTCTTTTTCCACGCACCCCGAACTTGTAGTATTGGTTTGAGAATATTACCAAAAAAAAACATTTTTATATTTTACGAGAAAAAATATCTATTAAAAGAAATAATAGGTGGTAGAAATATCGGGATCTTTAATTGATTTGATCATGGCTGTGTCCAGTTTCCATCAGTGGAATGTGAGACCTAAATCCATCAATCAAGTAATTTAAGAAAATCCAACGCTTAAATAAACTGGCCCAAGCCCATTAATTTGTCAGAAGATAGGAATAAATTTTGGGCTAGCTCCTAGAGTTCCGTCGTGAATGTAGATAATTGCTTTTATATGTTTTAATCAATCATCCCTCAACAAATCAGAGTGGCGCAGCGGAAGCGTGGTGGGCCCATAACCCACAGGTCCCAGGATCGAAACCTGGCTCTGATAAGGAGTGGCTTCCGTCGTTTGAATTTTTTCCACCGTTCGATCTGATGGAGGGAGGTCTCATCGAACGGTAGTTATGTCGACACATGCCATTCGCTTTTTTCTCTCTTCAAACACCATCCTGCTGACGCGTCACACGTAAAGATGCGTTGGCTTGCTCTTTTAAGAGGACAGCAAAATAATAATAATAATGGGCATGGGGAAGATTAATTTATGTACTAATTAAACCATTAACAATATATTTTGTTCAAAGTTTTAAGTGAACATAACATCAATGCAGTATATAAAAAATAAAAAAAAAGCCATGTAAATGAGAGAAAAGAAAATGCTTCCATGGAAGGACTATTATAATTAAATCAAGCTGTTAAAAGGAAAATGAAGAATAAAGATGATGAAGAGCTTTTCATTAATCAGCAAAACGAATATAAACCCCAAGGTAACCAAATTCTTCTTTTAAGAAAAACTCTGGGGGTTTATGAGAAAATAATTCATATGTGAGAATAGGATCACTCACTGCTTATACATGATCTTTATTTATTAATATCAATATAGTGCCTAAGGTATTAAAAATTGGACTGGTTAATAAATTGATTGAGAATGATACTAAAATAATAAAATTTAATTAAAATATATAAAAATATTTATATATAGTTCTAAAATAACTCATATTTAAAATTATATTAATATACGAGTGAATAGAACATTCAAGTATAAATTGTACATAATCCAACCCAAAAACAAAAAAATTCTAAGGGAGTTTATTTTCCTGCATAATTATCATGTTTATGAAATTAAGGTATATTAAATAATAGCAATTAAAGTAATCATAATAATCAAAACCAGTAATTTGCATATATAACAAGGAGCATCCGTTATTAACATATCATAACTCGATTGATTGTCTTTTCGCACCGGTTATGATATTAAAAAGCAAGCTATATACCAATGTCATTTTTTTTATAACAGTTATATTTACACCAGTTTTAGAATTATTGTTAAAGAGGTTTTTTAATTAATTTAAAAAAAACTTTCTATACTAATATAATATATTAAAATTGGAATGATTGCCTTTCCAAATAATTCCCCAACACCCCCCCTTGTCAAGCAGAATAAGCGATTACTACTCTGCCGAAAACCCAAGTTCATAATATATTTGTTTTCTATATTTTGCAAATACACTAAATAATTTGCGTTATGGAAAATTGTTTCAGCCATCATGTTATGGGGAGAATCTTACCCAAAAAAAATTAAAATCATTAAATTCCAAATACAGAATTTTACCAAAATGTGTTATTATTTGTAAGTGCAGTGTTGTCCAAACTCATTAAAGTGTTGTTACCAAACATAATTTATGATTTAGTAGTTTTAAACTGTTTTTTTTTTTTTAGGATTTTCCTTGTACAATACTAGTATTATGCCTTGGAAGAAATAGAGGGTGGGAGAAATGGCACGTGGGTTAATTGATTTCACGGTCGGGTCAAGTTTCCATTCACGTTAATGGAATGAGAGGCCTAAACCCATAAAGTAATTTCAGAAAATCCAATGGTTTAAATGAAAAAGGCCGTAGCCCATTAATTAGTTTGAAGTTAAGAATGAATTAATATGGGCTAGCTCTTAGAAAGCCCATGTTTCTCTTACAGTTTCGTTTTATGGTTATTAAATTTTTGGTTTGGTTGCATGTCAACAAATCAGAGTGGCGCAGCGGAAGCGTGGTGGGCCCATAACCCACAGGTCCCAGGATCGAAACCTGGCTCTGATATAGAGTGGCTTCCGGCGTTTAAATTTTTTCAACCGTTGGATCTGAAGGATCCTGCATCTCGAACGGCTTTTGTTGTCGACGCATGGCATCCGCATTTTCTCACTCTTCAAACGCTATCCGGCAGACACGTCACACGTAAAAAAGTGCCTTTGTTTGTTTTGTTCCTTTTTTTTTTTTTTGGTTCTAATGAAAAGCAAATTGGTGTCTCAGAAAAATAGTTTGAAGCTGGTTTGTTTTAAGTAATTTAATTTTTTTCTCTCTTTGAATTATTATAATACTGGAGGTTGAGAAAGAATAAAATGATAATCAAGTCATTTACAATGTTCAGCTAAAATATTTATGCGTCGGGACAATTGAAAAAAAGAAGGAAACTTAAATATTTATGTCGTTTAAATTCCCCTCAATTTCTTTATTGATAAAAATAAACAGAAAACCTAAAATTATCAGCGTGTGTGTATTTCATGTATATGGATTCTCTGAATATTTTCAGAAACATGGTCATTTGCCCCAGAGTTTCAAAAATCATGGGAGAATTCATTTCTATGACGCTCTTTTAATGTATTATCACATAAAAAATATGATTAAAAATAACTCTTTGCCGCAATAAATTTTGGAGTAATTATTGTTGTAGCGAAACATATGCATCAACTCAAAGGGAGACTTTTTTTGTTTTTGGGCCAGAACTTAATGCAAGACTAAATTAAGGGAAAAAAACTCAAAATATCACAATATGTATTAATTTATTGGTCAACTTGGTACATTTGTTTATATCCACTAAATCCAATTTTCAATAATAAAAGTTCACAATAGTAAAATTTTAAAATTCTATTGTTCCAATATTAGTAAGAAAAATCATATGTGATAGAATATGATTGGACAATTAGACCTAATAAATTTTAACAAATGTATTTAAAATTTGTCCCAGTTATTTTTTTGTTTGCTACATTTGTCCTAATTAATATAACAAGTATTTTTTTTTTGGCTACAAATGTCCTAATTAACAAAACTCTTTTTAGCCTGACTCTTTAAGAGAGCCTATCACTGCCATACTGAACTTTTATCTCTTGATTTAGTAAATTTTTCAAGTTGATTTTAGTGGATTTTAGTAAACCGTCAGGAATTAAAGTTTTCGAATAAGTATATGTGTTTTACTCGGTATCATATTTTTTTGGCTTGTTGGATATATATAAATTCATTTTTTTTGTCTACTTAAAAATACTAAAACTCATGCTGGCCAAAAAAAAAAAAACTAAAACTCATAATTTAAAAAATTTATTAATAAACAACATAACATTCGCTTGCTTCTTTCCTTCACACATGCCTTGCCCCAAATAAATATTTTACCCTGGATTTTAAACTTGTCCTGATTTGCTTCTTTCCTTCACCTTGGTTTTTGTTTTTTTTTTTTTTTTGAACCTTGGAGTACTTTGGAATTTGGATATGTAAATAGATATTTTACTTTTTGGTCGTTTCCGACGGATTTGTTAATGTTTAGTATTAATTTATATGAATAAATTTCTTTTTTATCACCTTCCCTTTTTTTTTTTTAAGATCTATATCCTCGTCCAGCCTAAGAAGAAAGACTGAGTTCTTGAACTGATTGAGGCTCTATTTCTGCGCTTTCCTGATTGGAATATCTAAAACACTTGAAAAGAACTTAAGAATTTTTAAGTATATACGTAAATTCTGACCATATCCTCTTTCAAATGAGTTCTCATTCTATTACGATAACGATCCTGTTTAAATCCAAATGAAGGCTTCAGAAATTTTCAAATTATTATAACTATAAACTTGAAATCCGAGAAGCTCCAGAGAAATAAGTCAGACATAGCTTTCTAGGCTAGCAATGTGCATCAATTATGCACCTAATTTGCTTAGATGCTCAGAGCCCAGTGCTTATTTCATCATCCAAATCCATTCCAAATTCTCCAGGAAAAACTCGAAAACAGATTTAGTTATAAAACCTTAAAACTATTCTATTTGTAAAAACAGATTTAAAATGAGAATGAGAAATATAACGACGAAGAAAGAGGATCCTCAGCGATAATGCTTATAGTTGTCATCAAACAAGATGATCAGGTCTCAAAGATTCCATGCCATCACGGGATCGCAACAGAAAGATGATGAAATTAGGAGCGATGGAAATCCCTAATTCTAAGCAAGTATTGATCTCTTACAAATGAACACAATCAAAACCAGACGAAGCAGATTCAGATCGAGAGAAACTCGACGAAATTTGAAGAGAATGATCGAGGAACAGAAATAGATATGGCAGGGCGTTATTCACTGCACCTGGAGATGAATACAAAGGCGAAGTGACTCAACTTCCCTGCACTACGATTTATGCCTCCTCTTCTCTCACTGAGGGATTAAACCTTCAATCCATCGCCGTCGAATCAAAGGCATCCCTTCGTAGAGGCAAGAACGAGAAAAATTGCACAGAAACATACAGAAATTTTGAGATTCTTCTACAGAGAGGCGTTTTTCAGTCGCATGGCTTTTCTCAGAAGTCAGAATATATAGGGGAGGGTGTTTTTGAATTAGGGTTTGCAGCTTCCGAAATGCCTAAAACATCCTTCGTGTGGTCTCATAATTACTTTTATATCCGTTCCGTGACTTCCTAACAATCTTTCATTGGGCTTGGCCCATAGGAAAGCCCAAAATATCAATTTGTTTTTCTAAACTGTTCATTATGCCCAATAAGACAGGGGACAGTTTTTCTTTGACGAACAATGATTCAAGGATAACTTCCTCTAAATCAATGATCCTTCACCTGTAAGAAGAGCTTCATCAATTACTTCCTCCTGTCAAATTTATGAGCTTTGGATTTTAAAATAGCTGTAGTAATTTATAAGCTTCAATTTGTCTTTCTCTTAATATTTAGGGTAAAAGGGCACCCAGCACCCCAATCTTTTTTTTTTTAGGAGCACCCACCACTCCAATCTTTTTTTCAGTGCAATTTTACCCACTATATATTTTTTTTAGTGCAATTTAACCCAATTCCAACAGATCCCCTAATGTCTATTAAGAAAATTTCTTTTTTTATAAGTCCACATCAGCACGCATAAGAAGGTGAAAATTGATAGATAATACAAAGAAGGGAAAAAAACAAACCGAGCTCGTGTGCACCAGAACCCCACCTGTTTGTGCGATTGGGAACACTAGCATTTGGTGAAGGAGAAGGCAACAAATTCGTGCGAGAAAAATCATCTTGATTTGGAAAGGTAACAACTTTACTTTTGTTTTTCTTGTATGGTCCCACATTTGAAATTGGGTTTGCTGAAAGGGGTTTTATGATTAGAAAATGACGGGAGATGCGAACCTGGGAGATGATGTGGAGTTGGACGAAGATGATATGGCGTGGGACGAAGATGATGTGGCGTTCGATGTGTTAGTTGCCGAAGATGATGTGAGAAGACCAAAGACCAAAGACCAAATGTGATTATTGTTTGGCTACGAAGTTAGTTTTGTTTAAGATCAAATGTCATTCTCGAATATGTACTTGAGAAGACCAGTTCTCGAATATGTATTTGAGAAGACCAGTTCTCCGATATATATTTGAGAAGACTAGTTCTCTAATATATATTCAAGAGTTGGAGCCCATTCTCGATGTTTGGCTAACAGGTTCCAGTGCTTGCTAAGGTCAATTTTACCTTAGTAATGGAGATTTTTTATTCACTGTCTTCCTCGCAACTTTCACCGCTGGAATTTGCAATTCGTTTAGGGTTCCAATACTTGCAAAGTCAAATTGCTCCTCTAAAACAAAAGAGACAAAGTATACAAGAAAGCAAAAGTAAAATTTCAAAGTAAGGTTGTTAGTTTTCCAAATCAAGACAACTTTCCTTGCACGAATTTGTTGCCTTCTCCTTTACTAGATGCTAGTGTTCCCAATCGCACAAACAGGTGGGATTCTGGTGCTTGCAGAGTGGGCGCACGAGCTTGGTTTGTTTTTTCCCTTCTTTGTATTATCTGTCAATTTTAATCCTCTTAGCCGTGTTGATGTGGACTTATAAAAAAAATTTCTTAAGAGACGTTAGGGGGTCCGTTAGAATTAGGTTAAATTGCACTAAAAAAAATAGATTGTGGGTAAAATTGCACTGAAAAAAAGATAGGAGTGGTGGGTGCTCATGAAAAAAAAAGATTGGGGTGCTGGATGCCCCTTTACGCTAATATTTAACATATTTTTTTAATTTACTTTTAATTATTTATTCTTTCTCTTTTATCATACTTTTTCCTATCACATCTTCCAACACATTCTCTTTTATTCTTTTTCTCATTTATTATATGGGTATATTTAAAAATAAAAGTATATTTCTAACCTACTTATTACTTTTAACTAATTTTAACTAATAATTTAATATACATGAATTACTTATTTAAAACTTATAATGAAAACAAAAGAAAGTATAAACACCAACATGAATATCTCTTCAACCATCCCCTCACTCGCACAATGAATAAATGTGCTTTCTAAAAGCATATTGCTTATTCGTCTTGTGTGGATTGAATGTGTCATGTGAGCATCATTATCAATCATAAAATACGTAAAGATTACTTTTTTTTTTTAAGGCTTCATGTAATATATTTTTCATTCTTTTCGTTTCTCTCGACTGGCCTATTCACTGAAAACAGCACAGCGCAACACAATAATGAGGATGGGGCTTCTTTTTTCCTTTCATAATTACAACGTCATTTAATAAAAGAATTATAAGATTGCTAGCTACTTCATATATGATAGAAAATAATGGTGACTTGCTGTAAAAAATCAGGTAAACCAACATGACGACATCTCTGGTTATTCATGAAATATATTCTGAATAAACTTTTTTCTGTTCAGTCCTTGTTGAAAATGACTGTGTTAAGCTTTTCCAGTTTCGAATTAAAATACATCCTTATATATCGATCATCATGAAGAATCGAGCTGAAAATATATTATTGATGTATTCTGCAAAGTTTCATGGAGTGGGCTGGGATCGTCGTCACCGATCAAGACATCGACGATATGATCGCCCTTGGTGGCGGTGACCGAAACGATGGCTGAGCTTGGATGGTTTCATTGGGTTATTACGTGGTCTTGGATCTTGATGTCGTCGTCGACGACTAAGCGTTATGTCTTTTTCGATCACCGTCTTTTACTACAGTAAAGTATTGTGTTTAAACTTGTGCGTTGTTTATCTTCGTTAGCTGGATCCCAACTTTCTTGATGTATGTAAAGCTGAGTTTGTTGGACGAGTTGAGGAACTTGTTCACATATTTTTTATATATGCCTTTGGAGCTCTTTACAAAGCAACAAATCAAACTTAAAATTACAACGAACTGGCGTGACGAAGAGTTACAGCTCTTTGATGCATCAACAGATCTTTCAGTTTACTGTCGGATTATCATCATAGCTCAGCGAATCATGTTTATTGCGATCTCAGAGTTATCCCATCAAATGCTAAAATATAGTGGACTTGGAATAATTCGGAAGTCCCACATCGCCCACAATTTGACAAATATAGTGTATATTAAACGGCTGAAATGCTTCCTCGATTGCCGAGCTGGGTGACGCTAGCTTGTAACTCATGTGAGGGTAATAAGATGATGGGCTACAGCTTCGGCTTTTCCAGGTTGGGCTGACTGCTGCATTATGCTGGCCTGCCCACTCCAAGTGGGGTGTTGGCTCATGGGACTTGAGCGAAAGCTCGGGTCTCGTTAGCCTTAAACCAGAGGGCAATGCGTGAGGCTGGTTTCACAGAGCAGCGAGAACCTCTGGCTCTCAACAGTGGAGGGATAACAGGTTGCTGCGTAGTCAGCCCACTATGGCCTGCCTGGTCACCCTATCTGCCTACACCATCATCTTTTTTCCCCTTCACTATATGACTTTTTTTTTTTTAGTTTTGAAATTTCATTCTGATGGGGGAGATATAATGTTATTTTAGACATTACGTTAATTCCCGTGGCCCGTCGTTTCTTTCCAAAAGCTAACTGGCCATTTCAACTTCATTAATCCATTACTAAAAGTTTTTAGCAAACAGACTTGTTCGAAGAATTGTCTCCTCAGAATATATTTCTGGTTTGTTTCATGAGTTGGTTCTGGTAGTTGCAATTGGGTTGAAGGAGTATTGCTTGTTTTCTTATTAGAGTCGTTTTTTAATTTAGCATTATGGATTTGAGTATCATCCCTAAAGAATATAGCAGAGCAACTCATCCTTTCATACAAGAGACACAGAGAGTGACTGATTTGAAATTATCTCTGCAAGGAGACTTTTAGTGCCTGTTTGGTTTGAAGGGAGAGAAGCGTAGGGAAGGAGGGAAGGGTGGGAATGTCTCAATCTTATCATATTTAGTTTGACTAAAAAAAAAAAACGAGAGAAAAGAATATTTAATAATCTTTTACTTAGTTAAATAAAGGAAGGAAAAATATAGTAATAATTAATTTATCATTTTATCTTTGCATATTAATTTATACTTTTATATATATTATATAAATTAATTTACATCTTAATTCAAATTACATAATTAGATGAAAATTTATTCTATCATGTTAATTTACATCTTAATATGTGTATAAAAAACTGATATATTAATATTTTTAAATTTCTAAAGCCTCCACTGCTTTCATTTCGTTCTCGTCTTCCTTGAAAAATAAATCAGATATGGCTTCTCTTCCCATGCTAATATATATTTATTAAAAAGAAACAGATTCATTATCCACGCAAGACCAGGACAAAGAAATTTCATAAACTGTTGAGCATCACCACGTTTCCGAAAAAAATTGACGACGAAGGCATTTAGTTAATAAATTAAACTTATAAAAATTAACGTTTTCTTTATCAATGTAATGATTTCTCTAAACTTTTATCAAGGCGTCCAGAAATCCTTCCAGATCCATTCTGGTTTCTTAATTGAACATCTTAGAACAACCAAACATCTCAGCAAAATGTAGAGGAAAGGAGTTGCGGGTGAGGATTATGATAGGCCAATATCGGATGGGCATCAAGGGAATGGGTGGATTTGATTTTCTTTATTTTAATCTGAGCACATTATTAGAATATTACATAAATCATAATGGCAAAGTAGTCAATATATTTGGTTTCCTTCTAAAAAAAACTCCAATTTAAGAGG